ACTTATTTTCTTTGGGAGGTCCATTGGGAGTCACAGAATGAAGTCCAAAAATTTCTTAACTCTGTTCCAGTTCTATTTCTCTCTCTCTTTTTTAAATGCCCAGATATCTTCTAGCTATTTTAGAACATATTGGGGAAACTGAGAAAGGTCAGTTTTTTCACATGAAATGTTTATGATGGTCTTTCAACCAACAGATTATTTCCTGAAGCATCCAACATCAGCGTGGCACAGATGCCAGGGGCCATGAAATTCATATCTGTGTGTTCCAGAACTGGAAACTTTCCATAAGTCATGTTATCTACCCAAAGAGTAACGTCAAATATGAGTTCCCACAAAACCAATGATCACCCAAGCAGCATTTAATGCCTTCACTTCTGGGAAAGGCAGATGTACAAAAGCTTTAGTAATTACCAAATGACAAAATAATATTGAACAGAATAGTCACCTAAATTAAAGTTCTCTTGAGGATCAGTTACATATAACAAGAATAACTGACAAATCAGGCATGAAGAGAGGTGGGGTTTGTTTTTTCTTCTCTCCTCATAAATTATATGGGGAAATGAATAACTCCTGCTGTGATTATGAGAATATTTAGGTCATTTCTGCTCAAAGATCTATGTTAATAATAATAATATCCTAACCTTCCGCAGTGCCTGGCATTCTCAAAGCACTTTATAAACATTAATTAGATCTCCAATAAACAGTGACATTGTCTCATTGTTGGTTTTCCTGTTTATAGCATCACTGAGTCTGTAATCTTTCTAGAGTCTAAATATTTATTTATTTATTGCTGTTAATGCATATTTACATCATTGACAATGTTTTCAAATTATAATTCACAGAAGAGAAAGGTCAGGATTCTACTTTTGCAAACAAGAAACAGGTCAGAACAATAACTGTGCTGTTCTTTGTCAGAGCACACACTACTATATTGAATGCTGGAATTCTTTTCCTGCTTACTTTCCTTCATCTCAAACATGCCATTTCCATCCTGGAAAACTGCATGTGTTTTTCACATCCTGTAACCCACAGAGCCTAGTAGAGTACTTTGCATATCAGCGTAGGTTTTCAATAAATGTTTATAGGTTGAATGAGATCACATTCAATCCCTACATGTTGCAGGTCACACAGAACCCAGCCAGAACTGCCCATGGCCATTCTCACCACATTTTGGCTTGGGAACTGATTTTATTTTCTGATATCAACCTTGTTTTTCTTTTTTTTTTTAAAGATTTATTTATTTTTGTACAAGAGCTGGGGTACATGCCAGAGGTACGGGAGGGTGAGAGGATTCACCAGAGACAGAGCGGGGAGCAGAACAGGCAGACGACTGAAATACACTGCTGAGGGGAGCAGCGGGTGTGACAGGAAAGGTCTGCCGCACCATTTGGGAATCTCCCTGGCCAGCCGGGAATCGAACCGGCGCTGCAGAGGCTGCGGACAGCTTCACAGCACTGCGCTCAACCCGCTGCACCACCAGGGAGGCCCACCCTTGTTTTACTTTTGACTGATCACCAGGGCACTAAGAGGTGGTAGAAGACTATAAATGTAAACATGATATTGTTCCATGTTTCATTCCTTGAATCATTGATACTTAGTGAATGTTAACGGGCATCATGAGCTATTTGAGTTATTGGGAATATAAAGATAAAAAGAGGTGCAAGGAGAGAACAGTTTTTGATTTTGGATATTAAATGGACTCTATTTAAATATGCTATGTTTTACAGGTCTACATTATTAGTTGTAATACGTTAAAATTTGTTTTATGTGTTATTTTCATGGAGGAACTTGCATTACTGTTCTAACTCAGCCATTCATCCACTTCCTCTTTTCCAAACACATTCTAGGACTGTTTGCTGAGGGGAGAGGAAGACAACAGGGAATAAGCTATAGAACTTTCCTTTCGTTTCATGCCTAACTTTTGGCAAACCGGGTGTAAATCAAAATGAAAGTCCTATGAATTTCAGATCCTGTCTGATTTCTCTTACAACTCTTTCTGACTAATTTTGTTTGTTTGAATCCTGCAAAAGCAAAGTCTTCTAAAATGGAACCATGATAGACTTACGAACTGCACCACAGTTCTGTGGTTCAAGACTCTGATCCTTAGAAACTATGTAGAGACTCATCAAACAAGGATTGCGATTCTACATGTACACTCTCTCTTGGAATTCTCACAGTTAAGAAGATCTAAACAGGTGATAACAAACATCCCCGAAGGGCCATAAACCATTTGCACAGACATTAAAAGTTACAAATTAGTAAAGAATTAAAATATGTTCTATGCTTCTACATTGTGATAAAACAAAGCTGAAAAAATATGTGATTGGATGAGTAGCAAAATAAAGACATGGAGATTTGTAAGTTACACATGTAAGTCAAGATATTTAATATAATATGAATATAAAATTTCCAAAATTAAATTTTCTTGTCTTCATTTCAGCAAAATCACTAACTATGCTGTCATATGGAAATTCTCACATAACTTGAGCTCTACCAAGAGTAATAAACCAAAACATCAATCAAAATAGAACCAAAGTATACACAATTTGAATAGTTTCATCAAGATATGAATATAAAATAAATGTAAAATATTTAAATTGATTTTAATTTTTAAATTGAATATTCAAAATGCCTATAAAATTTAAAGCAGAATCAAAACATAAATATATTTAAGTTTTAAATAAAGTTTAAACAAATCATAAGATACTTTATGTAATCTGTTGATATGTCATAAACCTTATTACACATTTTTATAAAAATTAAATTATTCATAATCTCAGCATTTAATGTTCATATTTTAATTGTCAATCCAAAGAATCAGAATCATGCTTTATGCATGCTATATTTAAAGTTATATATAAACAAGTTTCAAGTAGTGTAAACTGATTAATATTGTAAAATATTCCTCAGTTACCATATCCAATTCTTGGTTAATAATTCTGGAACCATGAATTGCAACATGAGAAAAAGCAAAGAAATAGTCATTCATCTGTATTGAGAAACAAAATTCACTGTGGAATAATCTGCTGCATTCACATTATCTCAGAGGATTTCACATGTTAATGAATTTACCTTTTCCATCGCTAAATTTTTGTATCACTGAAATCCTTGCATTTCTGGGTAGTGTTTGCTTCAAGAGTGAGAGTGAGCATTTTAACCCATCAAAGTAGATCAAGGAGAGATTATGAGTTAAGGTAAAGCTCTAATAGCTGCCTGTTTAATAGACCTTGCACTGGAAATATTACATAACACCAGGATCTTAAAAGTTGTGAAACTTTTTCTGTCTTGAAGGTGATATTGTACAGCTTAGGTATGTAGACAACAGGACACATAGTCAAGGGCTACAGCATGGAATGCAATCACATTCTGGTGTCAGAAACTTTCTGAGCCTGTTTCTTCATTTTTAAGAGGGCTAATAATTTCTCATTCCTAATTCCATGGTGAAAATTAAATGATATAACCACTATAGAACGCTTGGAACATAATAGATTCTCACAAATTAGCAGCCACTAGTATTGACTGGCAAAGAATTATGGAAATTGGTCCTACTGAATTCATTCATCAGTCTAATAAATGTGCATTGATCCTGCTATCTGACACGTGCTTGGGTAGCACAGCTGGAATAGAAATGCTGCTGTTGTGCACTATGAGATGACTTGTTTTGTGAGGGAAGCAGACATGTAAAACAGAGATGTGAAAGAGCTGTGGAAACTAACAGAAGAGCTTGGGAAAGTTAGGACAGAATTCCTGGAGAAGATGCCACAGAAGCTAGTGGGATGAGGGAGTTTTCTGGTGAAGAGCAGGAAGGGGATTGGAAGCACAGGATTGCAAAGATACAGAATCATGAAGGGGCTTTACCCATACAAAGGAAGTAAAATAATAGAGAGGAGAGTCACCACGTCAGGCCCTTTAAATGGTAAAATTAAACTGAGAAGCTTATTTTGTTGAAACTAGCTAAGAGGTGCCTTGTTACTCCTTCAACAGTGTGGCTTTAACTGGACTTACAGAAAATTTTGTTCTTTGTGCCAATTTTGCTAAGTTGACTCAAGCAGGAACTGCTCAAAGTCCCCCAGTACAGTAATGTATGTTTGTTAGTACATACCACTTCTCTTAAAATATACCAAAATTGGGGGCAGAAGGGAAGCTGTTATTTTGGACCTAAGACTCATGATTTCTTAGCTCTTTGTTCCCCTATAATTTCTGTGATGGGTTACCCTTTCACAAGGAGCACCCAGTGACATATTCTAAAAATTGCTGTAACCGAAACAATGCAAGCTTCTTAGTTCATAACAAAACGGTGCTCAATTACAGAAGTGGGAAGGGAAGACAATACAAATTTCTCTGCAGAAAATATATTTGCTTTCCTCTTGAAAGCAATGTGCAAGCCATTCAAAGTATTTGATTTGAAACTTGTGTTGATAACACCATGGCGGAAACATCGTAAAGAATTACGACTGAGAAGAAGACCATTGTCTCAGGCAACTACCCCAGGATGGGAAGAAAGTGCCAGGTGGACAATCATTACTCTGGACACCTCCAATGCCCACAGCAGACTACAAGGCAAAATAACAGTCTTGCTGCTCGCTGGGGGAAATTTCCCAAGTACAATGGTAACTTCTAACACAAGCCCACTGATGGGGAGTTAAGGGGGCGCAGGGAGGGTGTTGACAGTTGTGTGGGTGAGATTGTTCCTTAGGTTTCCATAGGAGACAAGCCTTTGAGTGGCAACAAAATTATTTGTATGAGCTATTTGTATTACCTAACACCACAATCTCCCTCTTAGAAACTGTATTCATCTAATTCATAGGTTTAAGAGTGACTCAATTTCATGGGAAGATTTCTTTATTTACATTCAGTATGCTTCTTTAATTATAGAGAAGCCTCATAATTTTCCAGCATTTCACAGCCATTTAGGTAGGTTCTATGGAAAAGTCTACATCAGAAGACAGCTCTACAATAATTTTTTAATAAAAGGAAATTATTTGCTTCAGTCCACTCACCATTCCATGATTCAGCCACCCTGGGATAAAATTATCAAGCAGCTTCGGGTAAATCATCTCTCTGTCATAGGCATAAATGATCCAGAATACCGCTACAACAAACTGGAAGAGAAACAAAATCCTTTATTTCATAGTCACCAACTCTCTACAACATACAATTCATTAGTTGTCTATTATTAAAAGCACTCAACAGAATTTGGAATCTATAATGAAAGACAAATCACTAAGCCAGTTAATGACTGGAAAGACAGTTCTAACTTCATCCCATTAGTGGTAACGGCCGGGGTCCCTCCTCTTCCCATGCCCCCCACCCCCAACTGTGTTCTCTCTGGCACAGGAAACTGCTTGTGAGGTAGAGAGGTCTATCCTCTGAAACAGCTCCCTTTTTAGGGCTAACTATCTTGGTTTGATTCTTCTCAAGAGGGTTGAAAAGTTCACTGGTGGTTTTTGGGACCCATCCCCACAGTACAGAGCGAGCACACATTCAAGCAACTACACTGTATGTCTCTTCCTTAACCCATCATGTGGTTCAAATTAATCCTCACATTCTCAAGTTTCTGTTTCACCACTAACAGCATTGAAATCACTGCTATAAAATGTCCAAAAGTCCCATTTCCAGACAAAGTATTAATTCCTGTAGCCTTTAACAGAGTGTATGTAAAGGAAGATTCTTGATTTCTTGGAAAAACTTCTAAGTTCATCTGGGATCCAGAGGTTTATTTTGATCCATCAGCAACATAATTACAGAGAGTAGAGTCCTCAGTTTAATATCTTACCTGTCTTTAAACTAATGGTGAGAAAAGAGGTTCAGATAAAATAAAGAAATGAATGACCCCAAGCCTTCATCTTCAGCATAGAATTTAAAAGAAAAAGCGAGTGCTTTTATAGTCAATAAGTATAGCAAGGAAAGGAGAACCAGAGGGAGAGATCAAAGTCACTGCAGAGTTATGTCTCTAAATAATAAATAGTATGGAATGATAAAACGCAGTATGCATATTAAACAGGAACAATTTTTATCTTGTTTCTATGTTACCCATGCCCCCATATTTTATTAATAATATAAATATTTTAATGCCATTTTTATAAAACTCCCAGTGGTTACAGCTTCAGGTTAACAATTAGATAGATACCAAAGTTGTTTTCCACACGTGTCAGTTGTGACATGGGTAATCTTGGCCCAAAAAAATTCATTCTTAAAACCTATGATGGGGCGAACATTTATTGCTTCATAAAACAAAGTGAATGATAATTATAATAGCAACTGCAGATTGCACACATGGTTTTAATACCAGATTGGAATACCCCATTATTTATCCTGCTTTTGGGTCAACTATTTTCACTCAGTTGCCTAAATGCACAAGATGAGAAAAAAAAAACAACTATTATTAGCTGAGCATTAACTATCACCAGGATGTTTTTAAGTACAATGAATAATTTCTGAATCATCCAGAATTTTCATTTATTCATTAGACTACAGAATTCGAGAATACTGAATATCAGTGTCATCTGTTGTCAGATTTGGGTCCCTTGCCTCACAGCCTGCTACTCAAAGGGTGGTCCCATGGCTCAGCATCCTTTCACCTGAGAGCTTCTTAGACATGCAGCATGCCAAGTCCTATCCCGATATGTCCTGATCCTGCATTTTATTATTTTATTTATTTTTTGTGTAGAAAAACTATGGTCTAGATCAGAGGTACGGGGAGGTCAGAGGAACGACCAGAGTGAGGAGCAGACCAGGTGGATCTACTGAAATACACTGCTGAGGGAGCAGTGGATGAGACAGGAGAGGTCTGCTGTGCCATGTGGGTCAGCTCCCTGGCTGGCGATCACGCTCAGGCCTTAGCATGATAGTGCTGAGACTTATCCCCTAGGTCATCAGGAAGGACCAAATCCTGCATTTTAATAGGATCTCACAGTCATTTTTTTTTTAAGATTTTTTTATTTATTTATACAAGAACCGGGGTACAGGCCAGATGTGCGGGAGGGTGAGAAAATTCACCAGAGAAAGAACAGGGAACAGAACAGGCAGACTGACGAAGTACACTGCTGAGGGGAGCAGCGGGCTGCAGGAGAGGTCTGCGCGCCATGTGGGACCCTCACTGGCCGGCCAGGATTGAACCAGCACTGCAGAGGCTATGGACAGCTTCACAGTGCTGCGCTCAACCACCTGCGCCACCAGGGGAGGCCCTCACAGTCATTTATATACACATAAGAGAGGGAGCTGCCCTGCTGTGGAAGGCCTTACTCCATCACTTGGCACCTCCTCTCTTCCCAGGCACTGAGTTGATCCCAGAGTCAAACAGTTGGTGTGCCCAGAGCCTGCACCCTTCCATGTCTAGACCACATCCTGAGAAACCATGACCTTGAAATTCTCTGCCCACATAGACACAGGGTGACTCAGAGCCTTCTTTATTGGGAGGGTTAACTATAAAATAAATGTGGTTAAGAGGTTAAGAGCCATCTGTAGGGTGAGAAAGTAAGCATTACATTTGGTCTGTATGTGCCACAGGAATGAAGCCATTTCAATCCTGGATGGAGTCACAGTGGAAAGCCCTTTACCTTTGCTATAAAATGTAACCTAATCACAGAAGTGACAACTCCTCGTAGTCACAGGTCCTTCCCACACTCAAGGGGAAGGGATTAGATAGGCCTAAACATCAGGGGGTGGAATCTTGGGGCCATCTTAGAATTCTGCTCACCACAGTTTCCACTCTGTTCTTTTCCAAAATGGTTTGACTATTTTAAGTCCTTTGCATTTCCATTTAAATTTTAAAATCTCAACTTGTTAATTTCTACAAATATATTCTGCTAGAATTCTGATCATGACTAAATAAATGCATTCAATTTGGGGAGATAAGGAAACAACACTATTGAATCTTCTAACCCATAAATATCATTTAAATCATCATTTATTTAGGCCATTAATTTCTCAATATTTGAAGTTTTCACTGTAAAGATACTGCATATATTTTACTAAATCTATCACTAAATGTTCCATGTTTTCTATGCTACTGTTTTATAGATTGTATTAAAAGTATACAATTCCTGTTGTTAGTATGTAAAAGTACAACTAATTTTTGTTTTTTGACACTATCTCTTTTATCTTTGTTAAAATAATTTGGTAATTTGAATAATTATTTTATAAATTATATAGCATTTGGGCCTCCCTGGCGGTGCAAGGGGTTAAGCACCACACTATGAAGCAATCCACAGACTCTACAGCACAAGTTCGATCCCCGGCCGGCCAGCTACCCACATGGCGCGCCAGACCTCTTCTGATTCGCCTGCTGCTCCCCTCAGCAGTGTACTTCGGTCAATCTGCCTGTTCTGTTCCCCACTCTGTCTCTGGTGAATCCTCTTACCTCCCACATCTCTGGCCTGTTCCCCAGGTCTTGTGTGTATAAATAAATAAATCTTTAAAAAAAAACAATTAAAATTCTATGTAGATTTTTATATGTGTATGAATTGGAAATAAAAACTGTTTTTCTTCTTCCTTTATACCGGGGTTGTCTTTTACTTCTTTTTCTTTTCTTATTGTTCTCCTTAAACAATTCAGCAGAACATTGACTGGAAGGGATTTAGAGAGCGCCCTCACCTTCTTCCCTGTCTTAGGGAATGGCTTCAGTCTTTCAACATTTAAGTTTGCTATTAGTTGCAGGTTTTTTTCGATGCCTTTCATTAAGTTGGGGGAAGTCTCTCCTATTCTTTCTGTATGGAATGGATGAGGGTGGAATTTTGATGACTTTGCTACATATCTTGAGGTGATCATATAGTGTTTCTCCTTCATTCTATTAAAATGACACATTATATCAATTCATATCAAACTTTAAACCAACTTAATTCCTAGTCATCATGCATTATCATTTTTGTCACTGAACTCACTTTTCTATCTTTACATAAAGTATATTCATCAGTTGTTAGTTTTCTCATAATGTCTTTTTATAACTTTGGCAATAATATAATGCTAGCCTGAAAAAATGGAAAAATGTTTCTTCCTCTATTTTCTGAAGGACTGTGTACAAGACTTGGTATTTTTTTCCTTACCTATTTGATACACTTCTTTAGTGGGGAGATCCGGAATTAGAAGTTTTCTTTTGAGAAAATATAATTAACTTTCTTTAATAAATATAGAGTACATAAGCTTTCTATTTCTTCTTGAGTTTTCAGTCACTTTTCTCTTTTGTGGAATTCCTCCATTTTGTTTCTGTAAGTTCTTAAGATTCCACAATGAAAATTGGCAAATACTACAAATCAGGTATTTTTCTCTGGAGAGCCACTTGTTTAATATTCAGAGCACAGCACTGCTGAGAGCTACTTCCCACTCACCAGGAATGACCCTTCAGAGTCTCAAGTACATGCAGAGCCTGTGGGGTCAATATTTAGTAGTGCAGTTTGGTCATCCTGCAGCCCCTCCCAAATAGTGAGTGAATTACATGGGTTATTAAAAGTGAGATGACTTTCAAGGAAGAGTTAGTCATCTCTCCTACATGACAGCAGAAGGTCAAAAGGCACAGTTAACTGAGGAATCAGCCTTCTTAATAGTTTTTGAGCTATAAACGCATCACAGATGGTAGCTCTTTGGCTTCCTGCACTGATATACTCTTGTTAATATGGTCATCAACAAACCCAAAATACATTTGAACTCTACTACCAGGGCACACATATGAAACAAAAGTAGGTTCCCCTGGACAGGTTAAGTGACACTGAAATGTTACACTGTCATGAAGAAGTTCCTTCTCCAGCCAGGACCTATGGCCAGCTATTCTTCAGCACATACCTACTGCTTCTTAGCTGCCAAGACCAGATTTCTGTACTTGAGCAGAGACTGGGAGGAACACAGTCACTTGCCAGTCCTTCAAATTTCTGAGACAACATACTTGAATTACAACTAGTCACTGGGGCCTCGTTTGAACCCTTCTCCACAAACTGTAAGAAATGAACAAGAAAGAAAACTGGATTTACCCACTGTCTCTTTGTAAGGAGTCTCTCATATGGAGTCCAATAGAAGCTGAAGCTAATCAGCTTTAGTGCACTTCTAAAAAGGAACTTTACTGATCAGTAGGAAATTCTTTGAAAATAAAACCAATAAAGGGCAAAATTAC